AATACTATGACATGTATAGCCATAGCTTGAAGCCAATATACATGGTGATCAAGAAGTCTCGGTGGCATGTAGCCTTAGTCTTCAAACTTGGCTCACAGAACTAGCTCATGGAAATACCACTTTATCAAAGAAAAATAAATAGGCACTACATAACGGAATTTGGTGTCCTCTCCCTTTTATTCGTAGTTATTAGTGGTTAATATGTTCAGGTAATGATTATAGAGTACAAAGAAAGTAAGTTAAGTTAGTGGATATTCGACCCTTCTACCACAGGTAACCAGTTATAACTTTCTACCACATTTAACCGCCTAGATTTGNTCTCATGTTTCTTTCATTCAATTCAATCACCTATAACGACCCTTCTACCACAGGTAACCAGTTATAACTTTCTACCACATTTAACCGCCTAGATTTGTCTATTATAATCCCTTTCCACTTCCATATCATTCTCCTCCTTCCTAACTCCTTAGTTAGATCAAATGACAAAAACCCTTGATCTAAATGACCCCTGGATTATTAAGATTGCTAAAATACCCTTGATACCCAAAATAAATTGAAAGTCATCATATCACTGTTTTGTCCCTTGTAAGCTCAAAAAAAAATCATCGCCTTTTTCAAGACATGCATACCTTCTCTCGAATCTCTCCCACTTTTTCTTGTTGTTTTTTCACTTTCTCTTGCAACGTCTTTAACCCCCTGTTCACTCTCAACCTCTTTTCCTGATAAAACAGAGTAGGATCAGCACTCTTACAGGAAAAGATACTAAGAAGCCAGCTGAAGAACAAAATTAAAAAAAAAAAAGCTTTAATGAACTTGAATGGTATGTGCACTTGTTACTGCATGAGTAGGAGTATACCTTCACATAACTAACCCCAAGTTCTTTTCTCGAGTATCCTCGGTCCAAGTTGCGCATCACATATTCATTGTAGTCTTTGACAATCCTCATTATTATATCTGATGTGGATATCCCTTCAGTTCGTTTTGTCTCCTTAAATTTCCCAATGGACTTGACCTAAACAGGGAGACTTATGTCAACAATCAACATACATCCAAATCAAACCAGGCATGCATTGTGATAGAATAAATAAGCGGCAAAATACAGTCGCCACCATTATAATTATGTAGCCAAAAAGAAACATAGAAACTGGAAGTCCAAAAAAGGTCATATAAAATAGGAAAAGAATCCTAATGTAAGAGAGCAAACTGAAAATATGGCATTAGTTATGCAAGGCAAAACCACACCGTTCAGTAAACCCACAAAGTTGGCTAAAGTTATTCTGACTTGAAACATAATCTGATGGATAAACGAATGGGAAGCCCACAAAAAGTATAGCTACTGCACCTAAAGCAGATAATCATAGATTGCATAAGTGTATTCTTAGACTTACACATCTTCTGCCAGCAATGAATGAACGACCGAATGAAAAACCCATAAAGAAGTACAGCTAATGCAGCAAAGTCAGATAATCATAGATGATATAATTCAATTATACTAGGAACTTACAAACTCGTAAACATCTTTGCCAGCTCCACTTGCATCGGCATAACTGGAATATAGACAAACAAGAAAGACTTAACATATTCAGTCGTATAATGGAAAATGAGCTTGACAACATAAAATTGTGTAATTAAGACATTACATTTGGTGTTTCAAAGCCCTATAGAGGAAAAATGCTGATTTGCTATCGGAGAAATCAAAAAAACACTCCTTGAAGTTCAAGTAATTACATTCAACCCTTTTGGCTTTCAGGTCAAATAACAATTACGATTACCCATTAGGATGATTGACACAAAATGTATGATGTTGGCATTTTTGCAAGTGTAGTGCCAGAATTGTCCTTCTCTATACATATACATAAAATAAAAAATGTATTCAATCTTTACTTTAATCAAAATAGAAAAATGTAAAAAAATCAAAAAACCTGTTTTACTTTATATAAAAGTAAATGAAAAAATATAAAAAAATAAAACTGAAAATTTACAAGAAAATAAAAACAAAACCATCACCATCACCATCACCACCACCATCCCCAATCCCACCCACCCTTTCTTTTCTAAGCCTATTACAACCAGGACCACCACCAGCCCCTGCACTAGCGACCTCCACCACCAAGACCCTTCCTAACAAGAAAAACCCCCGAAACACCCCTTGAAGTTTAGATAGTTACACTCAACCCCTTTGGGTTTCAAGTAAAATAACAGTTACCCATTAGGATGATCAAAGCAAAATTTATGACATTAGCACTTCACATGTGTAGTACCAGAGTTGTCCTTCTGTATAATTAAAGACAGAAAACGTATTCAAATCTTTTTATTCTAAGCCACCTTCTCTCTCCCATCTTCTAATCTAAGCCTAATGCAACCAGGATCACAAACACCAACCACTAGGTGTTTAAGTATGTTTACACTAATGTTTTGGAATGTTTCGAGATGTTTCAAGATCTTTAAATATTTTAAACCAATACTTTGAAATGTCTTGAAAATAAATCACTAAATTTTTTATCTATTTCCATTATGTTTCTTAAACATTTTCAAAACGTTTACATTTTTTTATTGACCGAAATAATTCACCGAAACGATATTTTGATCCTTATTATGATGTCTTTTAGTTATGTGGTAAACCTCCTAACAACTTCTCATTATTTGAATTTAGTTGCACTTGTTTTATTATTCTTCCCAAAGCTGAATAAAATCAATTAGTTACGAATTATGCTATGTGTGTATTTCTTTAGGTTAGGTATCGTTATGATCCTGTTGCCAAAAGATTGTGTTTGTCTAGATATGTGATCTTTCTTGAGCATATATATATATTTTTTTCCCATTCCTACTACTTCTGACATTTTCAATAAATCAAATCTTATTTATATTGACCCTTTCCCTAAATATATTTTTAGGATTCATATGTTCATGACATGCTCACTTCTAACATTCTCTTTTCGTCTCAATCTTCAATCATTGAATCCTCCTATTGTTCACACTTGTGTCGTAGAATAAGGCTAATTCATTGGCAGGCAAGACTGACAAGACTAACTACTTTGCTGGTACATCTTCTTTACCTCTTTCGGTTGTGTCTTTGTCAACTTTTGATGATGCAAATCCTCCCTTTTATCACTATCCTAACCGTATTCATAACTGTCATCATCGTCTTTAATTTTCCAACTCTTATTATTCCTCTAATTTTTGTTCATTTTTATCTTTTATTCACTCTTTGTTTGAACCTACTGCCTATAAGCTGGCTTATCTTGATCATATTTTGAAACATGTTAGGAATGAAGAATTTTTAGCAATGAATAAAACTGAGACATGGGATCTTGTGCTTTTACTACTGGTAAACATGTTGTTCGTTATCAAAGGGTATATAAGATTAAAACTAAGATTAGTAGCTCTATTGAATGCTACAAAACTCGTTTGGTTGCTTAGGATTTTGTTGAAGAATATGGCATTGATTAAGAGGAAACTTTTGCTCCTGTTGCAAAGATGAAAACTATTCATACTTCAATTACAATACAACCACTCTTCAATGGAAGTTGTCTCAGATGGATGTCAATAATACTTTTCTAAATGATGATTTAGTATAAGTTTACATGGTTCCTCCTCCTAGTCTCCCTCATGTTCTGGGGAAGGTATGAAAACTGAGAAAAGCTTTATATAGTCTCAAGCAAGTTCCTAGGACTTAGTTTGAGAAGTTCTTTGCCTCAATCTATGACTTAAGCTTTCATTTAAATGATTATGATTATGCTATTTTTATTCATTCTACTTCCGCGGGTCAAACTAATCTTCTCTTATATAATGATGATATGAGATGATATTGTTGGGGGTGATTACAAAGGCATTTCAGTCTTGAAGGCTCAGTTACAGCAGCAATTTGAGATGAAATATTTTATTCCTCTCCAATATTTTCTGGGTATTGAAGTGACTTCGTCTCCTAAGAGTAATCTTCTTTCTCAATCAAAGTATGCAAATAATGTTATCCATAGAGCTTGTAAAACAGACTCTATTGAGACTCTTATCGAGCTTAATGTGTACACACTTCTACTTATGGTATCCCTATAGATGATCCTGCTATATATTGGGTTCTTGTTGGTATTTTTGTATATCTCACTGTTATACAAGCTGATATTGCTTATGTCGTTCATGTTGAGAGTCAATTTGTCTCTTCTCCGACCATAGTTCACAGAACTGCAGTTGTTCACATTTTGAGATATCTTCAAGGGACTTTGCATCAAAGTTTATTGTTTTCTTCCACGTCTTCTTTAAAGTTTCATGTCTTTTCTGATATTAATCGGGCAAATGATTTCATGGATCAGAATCCACCACTGGTTTCTCTGTCGTTCCAAATTATAGCCTTCTCTTAGAAAAACATGGAACAGACTGTTGTTACTCGTTCTATAGTTGATGCTCAACATCATGCTATGGCTACAACTACATTAGATATAGCTTTGTTGAGATTGTTGCTTGTTGTTTTAGGAGGGTCATTTTCTACTCCATTACCATGTATTGTGACAACAAGAATGTCATTTAGATTGCACACAATTCTATTTTCCACAAGCATATCGAAACTGATTATCATTTTCTATGCCCCTATTTTCAACTTGAGACTATTCCTTGCCTTTTGTTTCTTCTACTATCTAGTTAGTTGACTTTTTTACGAAGGCGCATACCACTATGTGTTTTCATTTTCTTCTTGACAAACTTTTAAATCTCAATGCTTCCTTTCATGAGTTCAAGGGGGTGTTAAGAATGTATATTATCTTTGTCTAATTAATTAGGGGTAGTTTAGTCTTTTCTTTGGTGTAAGGTTTTATATTTCCTCTCACACTTAAGTAACTAATGGAATATGAGAGAGATACTTAAAAACAATTTCTCTCTTCTTTGTATTGTTTGATCTAAGTTTTCAAGCTTGATATTTTCACTTTCAAACCATGGAAACAAGCTACGACCTCTTGTTTTCCCAATTCTTTATGCTCACTTTTCATGTAAAACGAGACCAAGCTTGACATCTAGTCATCACCCACGTCACCCCCATCATCCTCCAAAATCCCTTGCCGCTTCCAAACCGAGCTTCGTCTGTGGGAATTCGTTAAAGCACTGAAAAATTGTGATGTAAGACTAAAGACCGGGAGCAAGGAAATAAATTTCACTTCGAAACATCTAAAAAGTTTTTATTTCCATGAAAACCAAAACATATTTGTTATAAAATGTTGAAATCCTATGTTTCGTGATGTTCCCGGTTGTTTCGGTATGTTTGAATCAATGTTTCGTATGTTCCGATTGATGTTTCGCAAACAAACTTCTAATTTTTTTCTCTTTTTTTTCCAAAATATTTTTGAAAGTTTCTACTTACAAGTTGACCGAAACTATACATCGAAACAAAATTTTAATCCTCAATAGGAAGTACCCATCTCAAAGTGTACCTTACAGATGTAGGAGTAAGATCTTGCTCAAACTCAATAGTTATGGTAGGATTGGTAGGGCCTCAAAATGCTACAAAATAGATCTTCTTCATTCTCAGTCTAGTGTAAACTCTAAAACACTTAACAAACATCTAGACAAATGCAAGAAAATAGAGTTTTTGTCAAGAACATAGGCTTTTTATCTTTCAAATTAGCTTGTTCATGGATTTCGTGGAAAGTCTCGAAAACTCACAAAATACATTGGTGTAGTTGCTATTAAGACATGTCAAATCAGTAATGTGGTCTATTTGCAACAATAATGGGACCTTGTTATTGATCCACTTATTGTGTTTCCTAACCATAGATGTGGAGATATATGTAATTCACCCACCTCTCATCTAATAGTGCAGATGGAACTACACAATCACATCCTCCTCTCAAGTTAATATGTTTGCAATTAGTTTACTTTGTTGCATATTCACAGAGAAACTGTAGTTGATAAATTAAATTGTAGTGTAATTGACATGAATTTCGTTTAACTTGTTGGTTTATTGAGACAGAAAATTTGTCTCTCTTTCTGTATTCTCTAACAATTGGACTAGTTCATAGATATTGTTACCATAGAAGAGGCAGGGACTGGTTGGTTGGGCTCACAGTGCTGGCCGTTGGGTATTAGGTTTGGGTAGTTAAGATAGGTTGTTTTGTTTAAAATACCCCTGGAGGAAACAACACAGGAAAGGCAATTGTGTCCTTTCAGTAAACAAATTGACTCAACTAGACAAAGAGTTTTATTGCATCAAATTAAAGACTTGGAGGGTAAAGTAAAACAGAATAGAGTTTAAGGGCTGAATAGAAAGTTTGGTATACTATAGGGGCCAACTAAGTACTTTACTCATCAAATATGACAAGTTAATATGACAACTAACTCAAGTACTCAACTTAACAAAGCCTTGTCCCAATATTTTGGGGGATAAGTTAATATGATGGTAAACCATAAATTAGGTTCGTCAAGGTAATTATTAAATGACACATGCCAAGACTCAAATAAGTAACAAACAGAACAAGCTTGTAATATACAAAAAAGGGAACGCAAGAAGGTGACTAAAATAGAAAAAGCATAAATAGACATGTAGACTCACTGAAAAGTTAACACCCGGAGAAAAGTTATTCATGAAAATGCCATGAAAGGGAAAAAAAATTCCAGAAAAAAAAATACTAAAAAAAAAGCAAGAAACTAGTCCATAAGGCATATCATTAAACCATTGCTTGCCTAAAAATGAAAGTCTAGCCAAAAATAGTCCCCAGTTTCAGCATATAGCAAGGAGAAGTACCATCAGGGAAATTTTTTTCCAAAGGACAATATAAATTCAGGGGTGGGAAATATTTTTCCCATATCTAATAGGAAAGACGTAAGTTAGTCCAACCTTCACCATGTAACTGCACATAATAAATGACTCTTCAAGAGAAAAATAATTTCCAGAATAATCCTTTCAGTAACTGTTCCCTAGCAAAACAAACAGGACTGTAACAGAAAGAAACAATCCAAAAGCAGTTTTGAGCAGGTTAAACTTACGGAAGAGAATCATGTGCCACATAGTCAATCTGATGTTTGTCAAGGAACTCCTCTGTAAGCACCCATGGTGCATCAGGAATGACTTCATCAACCCACCTGCATCAAAAGAAAGGCAAAGTTTAACACACATTATCCTGCTGATTTGAGCTACCATTGGACAGTGTGACACCCAAATGCTACACCAACAAATCATAAGTAAAATACTAAGTTCCGACTTAAAAGCTCTAAGAAGTTCAAAACCTGGACACACGGATAAAGACACGGGGATACGACAAAGATCGAAAATATAAGAAACGGATACAGTACGGCTATTAAAATAATATAATATATTTTTTAAATAATAATAGAGTTATAATATATTAAAAATAAAGCATATATTATAATAATAAGACCTAGTAAATATTATTTTTTTGATTAAAATTAAAATAGTTCAAACTAAATATCCACCATTTTCATCAAACATCATTACATCCATTAACATTCATAGTATATAAGTTACATAACAAAAAAAATATTTATTTAGAAAAATAGAAATCACTCCCCTTTCAATAATTAACTATCATTTAAAAAAAAATCGAAACCATGTCCGACTGTGTTCCCTATTCAGGACCCTTCTAACAGTGTTCGACACATGTCCGTGTCGGGCACGTATCCGATACTGCCACGGCACCCCTCCAGGAAGTCTCCATGCTTCCTAGTTCAGAACCAAAAGGCAAAGCACATCGCTATCACGCTCATCAATAAAGATGCATTTACGANGAAGTGTCCATGCTTCCTAGTTCAGAACCAAAAGGCAAAGCACATCGCTATCACGCTCATCAATAAAGATGCATTTACGATTCATGTGATGGTATTGCTACATAAGCCCTTAGGAAGAGGAAAGAGCAATACACAATACACAATCCAGCTAAAATCTCTTAGCGGAAGTCTATACCTAATGTATGCACATACTAATCTTTTGTTCTTAATATTACCCCATTAGTCAAAATGGGCATCAAATACCCAAAAGAATAAGTTTAGAATCGTAAGCAGCTTTTAATTCTCTCAAGCTAAGATAAAATCAATATCCTGAAACATCGAAACACCAATTGCAGATTTTAGATATTCACACCCAACCAACCTGCAGTGCCTGAGAGATTCATAGCGCTCTTTGTCGGTCATGACTGTTTTTCCTTTGAATTTGTGGGTAACTTCATCATTGCAGCATCCAACAAGCAAATAAGTGTTGGGGAACCTACATTGTAAGCATTTATTAAGACCTACTGTCATAAAGCATAAACTTCACTAACTTATTTTCCAAATACCCAACTCAACTCAACGAAGTCTTATTCCAATATAACTTATTTTCCAGATATAAAAGCAAAAACATTCAGTGCTGCCAATAAAAGTACAAAACAAAAATACTCAGATTTCTTCCATTCCATTCCAAATAATAAAACATTAAATGTGTTGTTTTCATACTTGTATGCTTTTAAGGCAAAATAAATTTAACATTGTCTAGAAATTTCAGATGAAAAGGTAAAAACTGATGGCATTTGTAATTGACAGTCGCTGATTGGAACTTGAGGGTCATATCATTCAAAACCGGGGAGCAATTTCCTAACTCATTGATCCTTTCTCACTAAAACACAGAAAGCATTCTTAAAAACATAAACGTGGGCAGGGAATAGCTCTTTAAATTGTGGATCTTGCATATTCTTCAGGAATAGAGGAAGCACTGTTAGTATTGAACTGTGGTAAATGATACACGCTACCTTGAGATCTATTTGTTTGTAATTGGACTCGCAATAAGATCACTTTAGAAGGATAAAATGCTAGAATTGCAAGTGAAAATCTAGAACTAAATCAACGGAGCCAAGAATCACCATATCAAACAAACAGCTTGGAAGCCCTACTAGTAGAACTCAACTCAGAGGGTAATGCATTTCCCTGTTACAGATTTTAATGCTGTTCNCAGAGCCAAGAATCACCATATCAAACAAACAGCTTGGAAGCCCTACTGGTAGAACTCAACTCAGAGGGTAATGCATTTCCCTGTTACAGATTTTAATGCTGTTCATGTAACTACATTGTTTCATTTTTCAAACCCTGACTTGATATTCAAAGACAGATTACTCATAATGCACTCTTTACACATTCGTCTAATCTACACATTAGACATTGCCATTCTGGATTTTATAACACCACAACCAAAGGGGGACAAAAACAAACACCACCAACGCTGCTCCTGATAACTGAGTGTGGTAGAACAGAGATATTGGGATCAAAAGCATTGCATGTGTCCCATGATCCAATGACAAACTTTTGTATTTTGTGCAGTTGTNAATCTTTACACATTCGTCTAATCTACACATTAGACATTGCCATTCTGGATTTTATAACACCACAACCAAAAGGGGGACAAAAACAAACACCACCAACACTGCTCCTGATAACTGAGTGTGCTAGAACAGAGATATTGGGATCAAAAGCATTGCATGTGTCCCATGATCCAATGACAAACTTTTGTATTTTGTGCAGTTGTGCACAATGTTGCTTCCCGAATACTCTAGCCAAGTTCTCATGCTTCTCAAGTCTCAACCCACTTAATGAATGCACAAGCAATGACTCAAATGGTCATTAGCTAATGTTAGTCATACCAAAGGAGGACATTTAAAAGGGTAGACAGAAGAAAAACTTAACATTTGACGTTAATGCACAAAACAACTGGCCTTATACACAAATAAACATAATTATTTTGCACAAATATGAATAAAAAATCATCCAGCAGATACTTCAAGAATACCATGCAAATGTATTCCATGTAGCCATGTACTGCTTCACAAAATACAATAGGAATTACAGGATAAGAAATAATTTCTGAAATTGCTAAATTAAGACCAAATACATAAGCAGAAATAAGAATTGAGAAGGANATACCATGCAAATGTATTCCATGTAGCCATGTACTGCTTCGCAAAATACAATAGGAATTACAGGATAAGAAATAATGTCTGAAATTGCTAAATTAAGACCAAATACATAAGCAGAAATAAGAATTGAGAAGGAATTTCAAAAAAAAATAATTTAATTGTATCTCACTATAGACATGCAGTTATGCACATAGAGACGTACCACAAGCATTCATACATACATAATACAATTTATATATCTAGACACGTATTAATAAATCATATGGAATTTAGAACTAAAGAATCAATGAGCTCATAAAGCCTTTTAAAAAACAGAGGAACTAATAATCTAAATTGCATTAAAAAGTCAATCTAGGAAGTTGGTTGAAAATATGGAAATACGATCTAAAATTTACCATTTCTGCGAGGAAGTTCTTCACAATCCTTTCAAGGAGAGGAGAGAATAAACAATTTCCCAATCATAACTATAACTGACAGGAAAAAAATGCATGCTTATGCTGACATTTATCTCATGGGGAGTGCTGGGTATTGCCACTGGCACCCCCAATAACAGATGGATGACACACTTTACAAGCTACAACCAAAGGACAAAAGCCAGCGTGCTTGTCATTCACAAAGCTTACAAGCACAAGAATTGAGAATACGCATTGCGCAACAAAGACACTTCCTCTTTGGCAAGTGCAATGAAGACATAACTGTCCTTGTTGCTTTCCAAAAAGACAATCAGCCCCAAAATTTCACCTTCAAATCTTAACAAACTACCAACAGTAAAGAGCTTGATTACAGAGCATTGGAATTGCTTGAAATCCAAAAACATTAAGTTCCAAAAATATATATATATATAAGGGTCCCATAAGGAAACCATATTGAAACCAGCTGTAACTTTTATACTTCACGGTTCTCATTTACTATTTTAGAATACATTTATTGCTATCCAACGCAAAAAACCAACATAAAATCTGCAATTACAAGAAATGTTACAACAACTAATGGGACATCTATATCTATAGTATAATATCATAGGCAAGCTCCAATAAGTCTATCTGATGATCTCAAATAGCCTCAACAACCAACGATAACCTCTCAAAACCATTCATATTGATTTTTTTATCCTCAAATCCATCACTTTTCACTGGCATTGCACCGTTCCTGACCCAAACAAAAGCAAAGGGAACAAAGCATATACACAAACAAAAAAAAATATAAGCATATCAGACCACCACAATCAAAACAATAATTGTATTTACATCCAGAACCCAAAGAAACAAAGGAAATGGAAGAAATTAAGAACAACCCAAAAAGAACAGATATACCTGTTTAATAAAAAAAACCCAATTCGAATAACAGAAACAGAGAAACTGAAATAGTTATTTTACGATTTCTTGGCTTGTTCGAGGGAACGAGCGTGACCGAAGTGGAAGAGATCGTATATTCCGTCTGCATAAACGCGAACAGGCCGGTCCTTTGGCGGTTCAGAGACCGAATTACTGTCACCGTTGCGTTGTTCCCTTTTTTCATTCTCCATCCTCTCTCTCTCTCTCTCTCTCTCTCTCAGGTTTTTATGTATTACCCGTTGGTTTCTTTTTTTCTAAGATCTGGCTCCTCCCCAATTAAAGGCCACTTGAAGATCCAAACGTCAGTGAAGGGTAAGAGAAAAGTGTTTCAAAAAATACCTAGGGTGAATAACGTTCTGCGTCCAAAAACATTTTTAAAAAACTTACCAGTAAATATTATTTTTCTCCATAAATATTTATTAAATCTTATCATTTTTGTTTTATATCAAAAAAATTTTATTTTTAATATTTTATTTCAAGTAAGTCCTAATTTTATTATATTCCAATTTTATCTTTACCTTTTAGTTACGAATTTTTTTTTTTTTTTTACATTTTTATATAAACTCGGCGACACACTCTTGGGACATTTTAATTGTTATATGACGTTACATTCCTTCTAGTATGTCAACATTTGCGGCTGACCCTTGCGGGTTTTTTAATTGATATGCGATGTGTTTTTTTCATCACAATAAGCTAATTTTTACTTTGATTAAAGTAATATTATTATATTACATATTCTATTAATATATTATCTATGTGGTTTTAGATTAATCTATTAACTTATATTGGATTTAAAATGATTAAGTCATGGATTTATTTTAATTGTTTTGTTTGAATAAAAAACGACAATAAAATGGAATTAATTAACACAAAATATCGATGTAATTTTTTTAGCCTTTTCTTATTTTATTAAATAATCTATAAATATTACCTCAGCTTTCTTTAGGTTCTGCCATGAAATTTAGGTTAGTTGAGTTTTTTTTATGGATTTCGATGTTAATTTTATAAGTAAAGAATTTTTGTCCACTTAATTGATTCTAAGATTGCAAAAAAATAAAAGGGTTGTTATAACTAAAGGATAAGGATAAATTTAAAATATAATAAAATTTAGGACTTAAATGAAATAAATATCAAGAATAAAACTTCAATGATATGAAACAAAAATGATAAAACTTAATGGTTATTTTTGGGGAAAAGTAATACTTATCTATAATTCGCTCAACATTTTTTGGGTTGGGCAACTCCCATCGCTTAAATCTTTGTTTTCACTCTATTTAATTCTTTTACATCAAACTACTAATTCACTCTATATATATCCACTCATCACTTACTAAACTCACACCATCTATATTCACTAATTAAAAATTAATTTCATTCAATTTTATTTCAATCTACTATTTAGGCAATGATCCAAATTTTATTTCGATATACTATTTGAATACGAAAATATTTTTAAAATAAAATAAAAATAAATAAATAAATAATAAGTTATTTTTAAAATATTAGTCAAAATATACTAAAATATTTTTAAATAGCTCAAAATATTTCGAATATGTTGGTAAAAATATGTCAAAATATCTCAAAACACCTCAAAATATTATGGATCATTTGGAACATTGAAATTTCACTTTAATTACTATTTTTGTTTTCGGTTTTTTTGATATATATTTAATATTTTAATTGTATGGGTATAAATTGGGTGAACTTAGTAATTTGAAGTAAGATGATTAAATAGAGTGGGAAAAGAGATTTAAGGGATGAGAATAGCTCCATCCAACATTTTTAGATTCTTCCATCACATTTTAAAACAATTAAAATAATCAAATTATACCCTCAATCACATTAAAATATAACAATATGTCCAATTTTAATAAAATTTAGTATAAGATTTGACTGCAAAATGTTTTAAAATTGA